CCCCAAAACCCCAAAACCCCAAAACCCCAAAGTTAAGGAATTTTCTCGAATCGATGAATGAGTAAGATATTTAATAAGGATATACGAGAGAGGAGATATATTCTAAATATATTAGGTAATTAAGAGAGGCTTAGTTCTGAATCCGGAATCCTGATTCAAAAGCTGATCAAGTGCAGGGGCGTGTAACACCTGGTCATCCTTTTCCTCACAGATTCCTTCTTCCCTCATAAGTCTCAATACTAAAAGCAAAAGATAAGGATCGTTCATCCGTAGTTAAGTCTAAACATGTCATTGAAGCAGAAGAAGCCAGCTGAACCACCTGGAACCAAGTGGAAAACTTAGGCGAACTTAACTGCGTTTTCACTGCCATCGATAAATAGATCGCCAGACACAAAGCATAAGATTCCATTGTTAACTGAGGGCTGTGCATCAAAACTCTTGATGACATGCTTGATGTTGCCGAAGCTGCTGAATTTCTCTAAGATAGCAGCGACACCTTGGAATTGCTCTCCTTCAAAAGTTAGCATTGAATCATTGGTGTAAAGCTCCTTAAGACCCTGAAGAAAGAAAGTTAATAGATGTACACATATGAAAATATAGTTAAGGATCATTATCATTAAAATTCAAACTCAACTTATAGTACACTTAACATTAGTCATAAACAATTTAGGTTAAGGCTTATATAAGTTGGATAATGTACATTCGTTTGGATTATGAGTATGAGTTTATATGATACAATGAGATTTTTAACTTACTGGTCTGGAGTTATCAAAGACATTGTAGTAGTGAGAAACGAATTGTTCTCCGATGTTCATAAAATCTCCCATTCTCTTATCTAATAAATAATTATTAAACTTTTACTCATAATATGCTAATATATTAAGTTATTAAATTTCAAGCATTCTTTTAAACACAAAGATACTTAAAGTTAGATAATCTTTAAAGGTGACTTTAATACAATTATTACAATCAATATCATAACTATCATTATTACTCAATTAAGAGCTCTCAATTTTCCCATTACTCCTTTGGTGATGATTTCTTCATCGCTGTTTGTCTTTGGAAAAATTGACTTTGTCATTTATTTATTTCCTCACTCAGTTAAGATTAAAAATTTTGCCAGAATAATTATTTTTCTCGAAAATCACTTCTTGGCTCACTGTCAAATGCTTGAACAATATTTCAACATTTGAATCCCCTAGCTTTGTAGATTTTTATCTGTTTCCATAATCTATGATAGGAATTTAGTTTAAAATATAAGAGAATAAGATTTGATTTCTTACTTAATATTTCGTTATTTATTTTATCAGCAATGATTTGTCTTTGCCCTAAACTTATTAAAAACTTGTATTCAAATTATTCTGGATCAGGGTAACAGAGCAGGGAAAGCACTTCAATTACTTCCAAACTTGCATCCTAACATTGCAAATTTTTTGTTGGAATTTTGATGGGTTTCAAGCTATTAGAATATTTACCTAAATTTACTGCATAGGTGACTGCATTTTCAAGATCTCCTATTGCTACATATCCAACAAAAGTAAGTACATCAAGATATGCTTGTACTTTTAAGCTCTATTCATACAATGTTTTGAATTTAGCCATTATCAAACTTTTTGCACTCTCTATATCCCCACTCAATAGCATATATCTTAATATTCCTCTATCTTTGAGATACAGTGCTGAACTAGCTTTTTTATGTTTCTCGCTTTTTTCAATCACAAAATCAGTGATTCTAGGCTCTATATATAGACTACCACTTCTATTTACTCTGCGATTTAATCCATCAAAGTATGAGTAACTTTAGGCATACAAATTATTCTTAGCATCTGTTATATTAACTGATTCAGATCTCTAAGTTCTCTTCAATAAATCATTCATTTGATCTTCCATTGAAGCATCACTTAAAACAGATATTTATCTACCTAATGCTATATTTTCTATTATCTTATCATCTTCGGTCATCTTTCTATCAATTACTTCACTCTTTTAAGTTTCTAGAGCTGGATGGTAGTTTATCTCTTTTTCCATCTTCTTTTATGGAGGAGAATCCTCGAGTTCTTCTTTTTTCTCCTCGATAATTTCACTCAAATTCTGGTTACTCTAATCTACTTGCATTGATGTTGCATATTAAGTGTCAGTAGTAGCTTCACTGATGATACCTCCATTATCATCCTCTATTCCTTATAAGGTCTCAACATAGGCATAGTGGATCAAATAGGATTAAACTAATTCATGTATTTGACTCCTTGAGATTGGCTACTTAATAATATCAGAATATTCAGTTTATGCTATTTTTTGTTTTAAGCCCTCAATATCAAACAAGTATGGATTATTGCTTGAACCACTAAAGTTAGTCTCGACTTCCTCATTAATACTTTGTAAACAGACAGAAGCATAGAGATTATCTTTAGCAATTTTTACGTTTGTAAATGGGTTTCCGAGAAATCTTCCATTATAGGTAAAGAAAATTTCTTTTTTTAACATAATCAAGCCGCACCCAATCACATCATAGCGTTCTAATTTTGGACCATAATCTTCCCCTGTAGCTTTTCCATGAAATATTTTCCCATCTGATTTATATCCATAAGACTTAGCATCTGTTCCAAGTTATTTGTTCAATTAAAAGTCATGCTCTGAAATTCCAATCATAACAAGGCTAAATTAATAAATGAATATTTTCTTACTTTCTTGTTCCTGCATTAAGAATCTTAACTTCAAAGTAGAAGACTTCTTGTGCAGTGTCAATGGTAACATTTGATTGGATAGTCTATTGATATTTTGATTTTAAAATATTCTTATCTTACATTAGCGTAGGTTGGATGAGGTAATTTGCTCTTAATTTAAATAATCTATCTGCTTTAATCTTTGTATTTAACAAAGGTATTTTGTTTTATATTCAAATACATCGATGAGTTCCTTTCTTTGGTTTTATCAGAGCAAAATTTGAAATTAGACAAATAACTCTCTAAGCCTTGAGCACTGATGTGTGTATTCTTTTGAATAATTGATGTGGTATTATGCGTAGCCTATTTCTAGTTATTTTATTGCATTTTGAAAAGAATTTATAATTTCAAAAATTTAATTTTCAATATTATCTTGATTCTTTATTTCGGGGTTTTGGGGTTTTGGGGTTTTGGGG